CCAAATAGTGGAATCATGGCAGGTGAATTCTACTTTCTAAAGCAAACATGTATTGAAGGAGTCATATTAGTTAGTATAATTGGATTAAAAACTTTTAGGGTTGAGTAAAATTTCAAAAGAACCAAAGAAGGTGACGACTCAACTTACTTGCAAGCTTTATCTCATCAGGACTTGTCGTATCTGTTAAATACAATGTCATTAGGGGATTGAAATTGCTACCAGCAGGCAATGCTTTCAAAATGGATTCCCGAGAAGTCACAGCAGCAGCAGTGGTAGTAACTGGAGGTTTCAAATTTGGCATCACATTTGCCCCCCCAAAGTGATTTGCACTGCAGTTTTATCACTGATTCTTGGATTTATAGAAAGCAAACCGCAGCCAGTAAAAATAAAAGAACACTGTCCTTCAAGTAAAATCACCTGTGAGGGACAACAGCTTGAAGAAGTTCACCATCACGCAGATGAAGATGCCAATCATCAGGTTGAACCAGAGTTAGCTCCATCCTTGCTCCCTTGCACCTCATCCGCCTAGACCATTCAACTTTCGACAACAGGAACTTCAATGCCTGCAATGCAGCAAACAGAGTAAGCATTAGATAAAAGCAAAACAAAAATGCTGGGTCAAGTAAAATTAAGACACCAAAGTCAGCTAAGCAAAGTCCTAAAAAGGTTCATGAAGAAATAGAACTCAAAGTAGATATGAAGATTATACATAATTTGCAAGGCAGAAACGAAGTCTTTATCATTCTAATGCAGCAAAAGAAAAGCTAATTTTCTCTGTTGAAATTGAAGAAGCAGAATCAGGGGAAAATTATTTGTTTAACATCAAATTTAGCATTAAAAAAAAAATCCTTGCTAAATTATTTTGTCAAGTACGGAACAACATTCTGTTTATGAAAAATTACTTCATGTAAATTAGTACATGAATCAGATAAAGATATAACCAGTGGTTTTAGTACCGGTGACACATAGCGATTTATAGCGGATTCTTGTGAAATTGGAAGATCCCTGTATAATTTGGCACTTTCCTTTCGTCGCCGGCAAAATGCGAGGCGGAATGGAGAGAGGTTCTTCAACAGCTTCCCTGCGTCGGCTGGCGGCGAATTTAAGCATTCATTTTAAGACCGGGTCGGGTATTATGCTCAGGAAGATTACCTGAGTAGATTGGGGGATGCAGCCGGGGAAGGATGGCCTAAACGTTTCGTTTGGTTGGCAGATCCTTGAAACTGCCTGTGGTTCAATTAAATCCTCGTAGTTTTTACTAATGTCCAATTGAGCCCTTTTATTTCAACATAAATCTAGTTTCAACATTTTTTTCGTACCTCTATGATGGGTATCCACAGCGGTAATCCTCCATTTCTGGAATCCTTACCCATCCCACATTAGCTCTAATTTTAACATCATAATTATAAATAAATTGTTAGGAAAAATTTCAAGCACCATGGGAAATTGTTTGATGTTAGAGGCTCTTTACATGTAAGAAAACTTATTAGAAGGAGACATTTCATCCTCACTAAATCCTTTGAAAAGCCTTAAATATCTTGATCTCTTAAGAAACAATCTATCTGGCCAAATTCCCAAATTCCTCCAAAATTTCACTTTCCTGCAAAATCTAAACTTGTCTTTCAATAGACTGCAAGGAGAAGTACCACAGCAAGGAGTATTTCAAAATGCAAGTGCCATTTTAATTACTGGAAATTAGAAATTATGTGGAGGTGTTCAGAAGTTGGAACTCCCTGCATGCAAGGTCCAAGGGTGGAAGAAGAAAGTGTTCTCTAAAACTTTCAAAATAGTGATCCCAATAGTTGTCTTTGGCTCAAGCATTATAATAACCTTTCTGGTTTTTTGTTGTTCAAAGATGAGATCTAAAAGGAGAGATTCTAACATGAAGCTAGAGCTTGAACAATTTCTAAAGATATCATATGTAGAGTTGAGACAAACAACTAACGAGTTCACACCATCTAATTTAATTGGTGAGGGAAGCTTTGGCTTTGTGTACAAAGGAATTCTAGGTCGAGATCAAATTTCAGTCGCAGTGAAGGTGTGTTGAACCTCAAGCAGAAAGGAGCTTCCAAAAGTTTTATGGCTGAGTGTGAAATGCTGAGAAATATTCAACATCAAAATTTAGTCAAGACTATAACTATTTGCTCTAGTATAGACTTCAAACAGAGTGATTTCAAGGCTTTAGTCTACAAACTCATGAAAAATGGAAGCTTAGAGGAGTGGTTGCGTCCAGATGAAGACCAAGCTAGTGAGCATAGTTTAACCTCATTCAAAGACTTCATATAGCCATTGAAGTGGCTTTTGCAACTGAATATCTTCTTGACCACTGCCAACCATCCATTGTTCATAGAGACCTTAAGCCAAGCAATATTTTACTTGATGAGGACCTCGTTGCTCACGTGGGAGATTTTGATCTTGCAAGATTTCTATCCATTTCTTGTCAACAAAGTAGTTCCATTGGTGTAAAAGGGACTATTGGCTACATAGCCCTCGGTAACTGTTTTAGTTATTGTTGTTTATTTCAATCCTTTTAATTTTTTCTTTGTATTGGCATTTATAGTCATAGCAGCCTTTTTCTTACTAAGATGGTAAATCAACAATTAATATCACTCGACTTTCCCTTCCTAATGTAGAATGGTAAACAAGACAACCAAGCCAGGAGATGTATACAACTTTGGAATTCTCTTTTTGGAGTTGGTTACAGGAAAACAACCAATAGATTCATTGTTCAAAGACAATTTCACCATTCATTACTGAAAGAGTAATGGATATTTTAGATCCTTCATTGCAACGGCATGTACGAAACGATGAACATTCAGGAGCAAGGAATCTAGGAACGGAAGTTGGTATTTTGGAGAGCCTGGCCACAATGGAAAAGTTAGGAGTCCTCTGCTCAATGAGTCACCAAATGTAAGAATAGAGATGAAAGAAGTCAGCTGCAGAATTGTGTGCAATTAAAAACATGTTCCTTGGTCGTAGAATATAAAGTTTTATTTGATGCTTGAGCATACCCTTTCGTTTGTACTCTATTTACTTTCTATTTTTCTTTTTTTCTTTATGTTTTGACAAATTTGAAGTTGTACTTTTGGTGATAGACCAGGTTATATGAAAGAAGTGTAGATTAAGATTTCCTTTTGATTTAACATATTTTCGTGATACTGTAGAATTTATCTCATAATAACCATTAGAAACAATATATAGAATAGAAGGGTTGAAACCTAAGATCCATAGAATTTTTTTCTTCTTACAGACTATATATCAGCTTCCACAAATGAGAATATACTGAAGTAATTTGCTTCCAAGGACAAAATAACAATGCAGTCTCCCATTTTATTTCAATCTTTTAAGCACAAATTTAGCTACCATTTGGTGGTCAACCACCAACAAATGCATCTATTCCCATTTTAAGAGTATATCAAAAAACTTTTATGGACCAATGATCTATTATCTGATATTCACAATTCATTGCAGCTTTCCATGAAACAACAAGAAGAAAGACATGATAGGATAATGAAGAAATATGCCTTTTTAAAGACCTTTGCATATAGAGCTAAGACAACAGGGGCATTGTAAATACCAGCGCAATGACAAGGACATTCTTTTCCTTGTCTCTCATGGGGTGCACCATCAGTTCCAAGGAAAAATCTTTTTCACAAGTCACGATTGAAACAATAGCCTGCCCTAGATAAGAGTACAATGTGTAAGATTGAAGTAAAAGAAAAAGAAAAAAATAAAATGAAGACAAAATCTAATGCTGTATCATATATATCACAAGCAAGAAATGATGCTTCCCATCTCCATTAGCTACAACTGTGTACACCGCCTCTGAATTTTTTCTGTTCAAATTGAAGCAGCAGAATCAGGGGAAATTAACATCAAATTGAACCTTCTGTTTGTGAAGAATTACTCCATAGAAACGAGAACATGAATCAGATATAGAAATGAGCAGCGTTTTTAGTACCGGAACCGATTTGTGGACGATACTTGCGAAACTCGAAGAACCGGATACAATATACTACTTTCTCTTCGTTCCCGGAGAAATGTTACGCAAAAGGCCGGGAGGTTCTTTAGCGACTCTCCTTCGTCGGTCGCCGGCCGGCAGGCGAGCGAGATGGAGGAGAAATGGATAATGGTAAGCGTTATGAGCCCAAATGTTTCTCTCGGGTAACGGATGAACCTGGGCCGAAAAAGTCAAAAGTAAGCAAGTTAGGGTAAGCATCTGGTATTAATGTATCTGATGTCTTTGGGTACTTAATTTATTTAGCTAATTATTTTACCAGAACTTGAAAAGCGGTCGGCACATATTAGGTATAAAATTTGCAGGCCTATCAAGTATTTTTTTTTTTAACATATTTTGCAAGGGGTGGGTTTCGAAACCCTGACCGGGGGAGGATGCACGGGTGGCTAACGTTACTAGGTCTCAAGGGTCAGGTGCGGAGAATGCACGGGTGACTAACGTCACTAGGCCTCAAGGGTCAGGTGCGGAGGCCTATCAAATATTGGGTTAAATATGAGAATGAGAGTTCATATTTGCATTCTTGGTCTCTATACTTATATTTAAATATTATATATATTATATACATAGGAAAAGGTATATATCAATTTTGATTTAAAAAAAAAATTTTGTATAATATGTGTTTTAAAAACATAGATTGAAAATACAAT